TCTACTAAGCGGGAACCAGGAGATAAACATGCTATATAAAGCCTGTGCTAGTTATTTATAATTGGCATTTACCATGCTTCCTGTCTATCAACAAACTATGTAGCATCACACCATACAAATGACATTATCAGTCTCGTTTTTCTCTGTAAGCTTCTGAACTTCATCTGTTATAACTGCTTATAGATAAATTCCTTAACCAGGTATAGCTTTTCCACTCCCCAATTCTGCTTCAATCCAATGACTGATTCTATCCCAGACATAATTACTTCAAATGGAGTTAAATAGAGAAAAGGAAGTCTTTGCAACTGTTTCATACATAGATATTTTCTTGGACCCTTAGGCAAAAAAATAAAGTTTAAGAAAACATTTATTTAAAAATGAGCAAAAGAAAACAATATATTGAGTAAACAATATATTAAGATATACAGATTTTGGTAAAAACTTAATTTGTAAAAAGCAATAAAATGGTAATTCAGGATAGTAGTTACCTTAGGGGGAGGTAGATGATGGGACTGGAAGAGGCAAGGTGATTGCAACAATGTTAGCTATGTGCAGGCTCATAAACTTGATGGCAGGTGCATGGGTATTCACTTAATAATTAGACTTTAAAAATCACACACACATGGGCATATAACTTTCCATGTATTGGATACTATATAGTAAAAAGAAGAAAAAAATGTTCATAGGAAGCTAAGCTCCTCTAACCTACATAAAGGTATTTATGTGTTCCATTCCGAAGAAGCTGCACTCTCCAATCCTCAGTTTGTCCATCGCCCAAAGGAGCTTCAGCTACGATTCTTACTTCAGAAGATGCACAGGTACAAGAACTCAAGTTCATGAGTCAAAACATTTTGGTTGGCCCTAACATCATTTTTGCCTAAAATCCTTAAACTAGTAAATATTGCTTCATGTCTACCACAGCTCTAGGTAAAAAGGGGTTGCAAGTTAAGGAAACTCCTTGTTTTCTGACCAAAGAGAATTTAAAAGGAGAAACAAGATGCTTTTCTTAGCCCACTCCACAGCTCCAGGCTAGAACTCATGAAAGATTAGCATAAATGCCCGGAGAGAGATTCTTGACTGACATGAAGGGTCAGAGGAGCCACTGATCACACTTGCTCAGGGAGCAAGGTTGGACAGTTGAACAGATCCACAGCCGTAATTCCTGCCTCTGAGATGAAGCTTGAGCTGGGGGGCGGGGGTAAGAGCTGACAGGTAAGAGCAGCAGTGGGGAGCAACCTTGTTTGCATGAGTTCAAGTCCCAGCTCAGCCCTAATACCCGTGGGATCCTGGGAAGCTCATGTAACACCTTTATACTTCTGTTTTCTCAGTTCTAGAACAGGGATAATAATAGTACCTCCCAGGATCAGTATGAAAATTGCAAGAGGTAACATGTGGAGAGTGCTTAGAACTATTCATCGCGTATAGCAAGCATTCAACAAATGATAGCTATCGTTAACTGTTATAGGTACTGATCTGAAATGACTTCTAGGATATGTCAAGTTAAAGAAAAAAGTCAGTACCAAACAATATACATAGAATGTGATCATCTGTGGAGAGAAATGTAGATAAATCTATTATGTATATAGACATATCACAAGATACGTGAATATACACAAGAATCTGGTTAACAGTGGTTGTTTCTGTGGAAGGGAACTAGAAAACTAGGAGACAGGGATGCAAGGATACTTGCTTTCATTACGTATCCCACCTTTAAATTTTTTTTTTAATCATTACAATTAACCCTTGGGGGTACAGTTAACAATATGGTGTTCCTAAACCCCATGCAGTCAAAAATCTGCTTATTAACTTTTGACTCCTCAAAATTAACCACTAATAGCCTACTATTGACCAGAAACCTTACCAATAACATAAACAGTCAATTAACAGACTTTGTCTATGTATTATATACTGCATTCCAACAATAAAGTAAGCTAGAGAAATGAGAATGTTACTAAGAAAATCACAAGGAAGAGAAAATACGTTTACAGTACTGTATTTACTGAAAAAAACCTGAGTGTAAGTGGACCCACACAGTTTGAGGATCAACTGTATATCCTTTACCTATTTCTAAAAGTCATTAAAATTAGTTGACCTCTTTTTAAAAAAGAAAACAATAAGCTAGGTTGAGAGCAATACAAATGACTAGGCAGGAACGGTTATACGATGTTGTAGGTTGGACCTACAAAATCCAGCACGTAGCAACATACTACTTGAGTGAGAAGAAACAAAAATGGCATCAAAATTCCAGGCCTCCTTCACTGAGAAAATGTTGGTGCTTTTTTAAGAAATGGATAAAAGGCTCTTCCGCCGCCATTTTAAGTCCAGCTCCATACAACGCTCGGCCGCGGCCGCACTACGCACCAGCCCCCCGGCCGACAACTCCGCCACCGTGGAGGCCATGAACGAGTACGGCAACGGAGAGGAAGTCGCGGAGGGATCCAAGATCAACGCGAGCAAGAGTCAGCCGGATGACGGGAAAGTGTTCATTGGAGGTTTGAGCTGGGATACAAGCAAGGAAGATCGGACTGTATATTTGTCTCGATTTGGAGAAGTTGTAGACTGCACAATTAAAACAGTGACTGGAAGATCAAGAGGATTTGGATTTGTGCTTTTCAGAGATGCTGCTAGTGTTGATAAGGTTTGGGAACTGAAAGAACACAAATTGGATGGCAAATTGATAGACCCCCAAAAGGGCCAAAGCTTTAAAAGGGAAAGAACCCCCCAAAAAGGTTTTTTGTGGGTGGATTGAGCCCAGATACTTCTGAAGAACAAATTAAAGACTATTTTGGAGCCTTTGGAGAGATTGAAAATATTGAACTTCCCATGGATACAAAAACAAATGAAAGAAGAGGATTTTGTTTTATCTGTATGACAAATACAGACGAAGAGCCAGTAAAGAAATTGTTATAAAGCAGATATCATCAGATTGGTTCTGGGAAGTGTGAAATCAAAGTTGCACAACCCAAAGAGGTATACGGGCAGCAACAGCAACAACAAAAAGGAGGAAGAGGTGCTGCAGCTGGTGGACGAGGTGGTACTAGGGGTCGTGGACGAGGTCAGGGCCAAAACTGGAACCACGGATTTAATAACTATTATGATCAAGGATATGGAAATTACAATAGTGCCTATGGTGGTGATCAAAACCATAGTGGCCATGGCGGCTATGATTATAGTGGGTATAACTATGGGGACTATGGATATGGACAGGGATATGCAGACTACAGTGGCCAACAGAGCACTTATGGCAAGGCGTCTCGAGGGGGTGGCAATCACCAAAACAATTACCAGCCATACTAAAGGAGGACGTTGGAGAAAACCGGAGGAGATTGCTAAAGTTAACCCATCTTGCAGGACGACATTGAAGACTGGTCTTCTGTTGATCTAAGATGATTATTTTGTAAAAGACTTTCTAGTGTGCAAGACACAACTGTGTCCAACTGTATATAGCCGCCAGTTAGTTTTCTTTGTTTTTACTTTGTCTTTTGCTATCTGTGTTATGACTCGATGTGGATTTGGGTTTATACAAATTTTATTTGTATGATTTCATGTTAAACCTCAAATAAATGCTTCCTTATGTGATTGTTAAAAGAAAAAAAATGGATAAAAGAAGAGAAACTAAGGATTTGGGAGAATTGAGAGAAGAGGCATTTGGATATATTGAGTTTCAATACTCCATGAAGACATTCAGGTGGAAGAGTGGAGCAGAATTTCCAGCCACAAATCAGGAGAGGACAGAGTTAGAGATTAAGGCAGTGGAGCAATTCTGGCACAGAGCCACACAGTTCTCGCACAAACGGCAGAAACTAAGAGACTTCCAAGAGACGGAGAACAGAGAAGAAGGGATGTGTGGACTGACCTGCTTGCATTTATCAAGAACTTTTAGCAAATGGGATGCTTTTGGTGGTATATTTTGAACAGTATATTGTGCTCGTCACTGTTTTCACTAGACATCTTTAAATTAAAACAGTAATTGTTCTCTTTGCTTACTATTTATTCTTGCCAACAGGCAATATGGGATGTGAAAAGATGTGGGTTGAATCCTTGTCCCACCGTTTAATAGATGCAATGATCTTAGGCCATAACTTCTCTGAGCCTCAGTCAGTGTAAGAAATGATAACCTTGTGGTGGGAATTGTAAGATCAGGTGCACCTGAGAGGGTCAAGGATAGTGCAATGCACATGGAGGACATTAAATCATTATTACATGAAGATGAGTCTCATAGCCTAGGTTGACTATGTACACTTACATGTGACAAAGACTAACCAGCCCTTACCTAAAAATTCAACTCTCAGATGTTCCCTTGATTCCCAGTGTTGGGCCATGAGAAGCAAATCCTCTTCACAAGCAAACACACCCCACAAGGCATCAAACGAAGAAGCATTATGTCCAGGTTTAAGGATCAGGATTTTCTAAAGTTATCTTTTTTTTTTTTAAAGAAGGCTTAAAAACCTCAGGGTTCTCTCTTCCTCAAAACTGAAAGACTGTTTCTGCTCAAACTTAAACTTCAAATAGAATCCTAAACTAATTTATCTCCTTAATGTCACACATCGTTTAA